TCGACTGGGGGGGCGAGCGACTCGGCCAGGGGGGACTGGGGCTCGCCGGGGGGACTGGGGCTCACCAGGGGGGCAGCACTCACCAGGGGGACTGGGACTCATTGGGGGGCCGGGACTCACCAGGGGGGACTGGGACTCACCAGGGGGGCAGCACTCACCAGGGGCCGGCACTGGGCCCGCACATCCAGGATCTGTTTCTTGAACTGGTCCCGTGGGATCTGGGTCACCTCGTCCAGGAAGCGGAGCTGGCGCCGGGGGGTGCGCGGTGGGGCCGGTTCGTACACGGCCAGCTCCAGCTGTGGGGCGCAGGGGGGCATGGGTGAGCTGGGGGCACCCTGCCCAGGAGAGGCCATCAGCTGGCCCAGGACCCCTACTTACCTTCGGGCTGCTTGGGGGGCGCGTCACCCTGGGGGTCACAGCTGGGGATGGGGGAGGGGGCGGCAGTCCTGGCTCCCTCGGGGGGCTCAGCTCTGTGGGGCAGCACCCAGAGCAAGAGTTAGAGGCTGGAGACCCCCCTCGACCTTCCCCCCTTCATGCCCCATACTCACCGGGGGGCGGGGGTAGCTCCTCCTTCGGCAGCCGAGCCAGCTCCTCGGGCAGGATGGGGGTCTCCACCTCAGCTGGGGGCTCCTCACCCACCCTATGGGGAGAGATGGTAAGACCTCGACCCCCATTCCCTGCCCCTGGCCAGCCCCATCCAGGCGCCCCCTAGACGGGAAAGACCCCGACCCCCATTCCCGCCCCCCGCCAGCCCCACCCTGGTGCCCACTAGAGGGGAAAGGACCCAAGCCCCCTAGCCAACCTCACCCCGCCCTGGGGCTGGCGTGCCCTAGAGGGGATGCCCCACGCCTGCCCCCTTACCGGGTTGGGGGTGACAGTCTGGCCGTGATCTCGGCCTCCCGGGCTCTCATCTCCTCTTCCAGCTCTGGAGGGGAGAAGGAGGCGTGAGATGGGGCTGGGGTGGCGGGATGAGCCCCTTGCCCCCCCTCCCCAGCCCCCCAGGATCCCTGTGGCCTCCCCCACCTTCCATGGGGCGTCTCCTGGGGGGGGTGCGGGGTGAGGCGGGGGGCAAGACGAAGTCCTCCTGCTCGGCCAGCAGGTCGATCTCGCGTGCCGTGATCTCCGGGAGGTCGCGCTCGCCCTGTGCGGGGGGAGAAAGGGAGTGTCACATTGTGGATATGCCCCCCCCCGTCCCATATCCCCTATAACCCTACGCTGAGATCCCAGCCCCCCAGGACCTGGTTCACCTAGGCTGCCCCCGATCCCAGACCCCCATAATCCCGAGATTCCCCCACATTTCCGCCCAGATCCCAGCCCCCATGGTTCCCCCCACACCTCGATTTCCAGCAGTATGATGGGCTCCACCTCCTTCATGGTGATGATTTCGGGGGACACAACCGTGATGGGGGGTGCTTCTGGGTGGGGTGAGAGAGGGGTGAGCTGGGGATTAATTCCCACCCTGATTCCCACCCACCCCCACAGAGCCCTGGGGAAATGTGGGGGGGCAATGACATCAGACCAGATCTTGGGGGCATTAGAAAGGAGGGTTCGGGGGGCCAGGGAGACTAGCTGGGCTGGGCGAGCCTGGGGTTACTGGTTACACTGGGATGAACTGGGAGTGGGGCACCAGGTACAGTAAGATGGCTTTACTGGGGTTATACTGGGCCACTGATTACATCAGATATGTGGGGGCCCTGGGCTTACTGGTTATACTGGGACAGTGGGTATACTGGTTACACTGGGATACCAGCTGTACTGGACTACTGGCATTGCTAGGTTACACGGGTCATGCCAGGATGCCGACATCACCAGCTACACTGGGAAACCAGAATGTCCTGGTTATACTGGGACACAGTGGTTACTGGTTATACAGGGATTCTGTGATTACTGGTTATACTGGGACACGGTGATTACTGGTTATACAGGGATTCTGTGATTACTGGTTATGCTGGGACACGGTGGTTACTGGTTATACAGGGATTCTGTGGTTACTAGTTATGCTGGGACACGGTGGTTACTGGTTATACAGGGATTCTGAGGTTACTGGTTATACTGGGACACGGTGGTTACTGGTTATACAGGGATTCTGTGATTACTGGTTATGCTGGAACACAGTGGTTACTGGTTATACTGGGAAGCTGTGGTTACTGGTTAGAGTAGGATACGGGTTGCACTGGGACTCCATCCGTACCATCCCCCCTTCCCCACAACCCACAGACTCACCTGCCCTCCTGCGCCGGGGGGATGGGGCTGGTCTCTCTGGGGGGGTGGGAGCCTCCAGAATACATCGAATCTGGGGGTGAAGCAATGTCACAGGTCAGCCCCATCCCCCCATGACCACAGAGGGGAGGCCTGGAGATAGTCACAAAGGAGGGGGAGACAGGCTGGCGGGCATCATTGCTGTTGCTGTGGGATGGGGGCATGGGCAGCAGAGGCACCGGGGGCACATGAGGGATGGTCAGCGGGGCTGGGCAGCGGGAGCACGGGGGGCACCTGTGGGATGTCAGTGGGGCTGGGCAGCGGGAGCACGGGGGGCACCTGTGGGATGTCAGTGGGGCTGGGCAGGCGGAGCACGGGGGGCACCTGTGGGATGTCAGTGGGGCTGGGCAGGCGGAGCACGGGGGGCACCTGTGGGATGTTAGTGGGGCTGTGCAGGCGGAGCACGGGGGGCACCTGTGGGATGTCAGTGGGGCTGGGCAGGCGGAGCACAGGGGGGCACCTGTGGGATGTGAATGGGGCTGGGAAGGCGGAGCACAGGGGGGCATCTGTGGGATGTCAATGGGGCTGGGCAGGCGGAGCACAGGGGGGCATCTGTGGGATGTCAGTGGGGCTGGGCAGGTGGAGTATGGGGGGTACCTGTGGAATGTCAGTGGGGCTGGGCAGTGGGATCACGGGGGGTACCTGTGGGATGTCAGTGGGGCTGGGCAGCGGCGGCTCCATCACCCCGAAGAAGGGGTCGGGCGCATCCTCTAGGACCTCCATCAATAACAGGTTGTCGGGGAGCAGCAGCCCCGGCCTGGGGGTAAATGGGGGTCAGAGCCCAGATAGAGAGAGTGACCCCCCCCCAAAGACCCCTGCTCCCCACACAGCCCCCCTGACCCCCACACAGCCCTCCTGCCTGCCCCCAAAGCCCCCCCGTCCCCCGAACTGGTCCCCACAATCTCACCAGGACCTTTTCCTACCCCCCACTGAGCCCCCAACCTGCTACTGAGTCCCCCTCCCTCTACTCCCCTCCCCCACTAATCTCCTCCTCTGTACTGACCCCTCACCACTGCTACGCTCCCCCCATGCCCTCTCCCTTGCCAATTGGCCTCCCACCTCCATACTGACGCCCCTACCTGGGGGAGGGGTTCCAGGCATATCCTAGGTGCTATGGGGGTTCAGGAGTGTCCCAGGGGTTATGGGGGGCCCCAGCCCTCTCCCCATGACTCACTGTTCAAGATCCCCCATGTCGATGCGGATCTGCTGCTGGGCCCTGCTCAGGCGCTCCAAGGTGTGCTGGATCTCCTCTGGGGGGCAGGCAGGGGGTGGGGGTGAGACAGGGGGCTGAATCTTCTCTGGGGGGCAGGCAGGGGGTGGGGTGAGATGGGGGGCTGCTTCTCCTCTGCGGGGCAGGCAGGGGATGGGGTGAGATGGGAGGCCTGGATCTCCTCTGGGGGGCAAGCAGAGGGTGGGGGTGAGATTGGGGGGCTGGATCTCTTCTGGGGGCAGGCAGGGGTGGGAGGTTGGAGGGCCTGGAGTTCCTCTAGACGGTGGGCGTGAGATCGGGGATTGGAGGGGATACACATCAGGGGGACAAATCTAGACCACCCCCAGGACTTGTCTACATGGTGTCTTAAACTAGTTCTTAAACCCAACCCAGGCTCAGTTGGAAGTGAATTAAGGGCATCTATATCCCCTTCTGCTAAACCGCTTCAGTATCATACCCCGAACTCCACTGGGGCCATTGCTGAGTGCAGCTCTGGCTGCCTGAATCTGCATCAGTCACCTCGCCATTGATGGCTCTTAATCCAAATTAAGAGCATCCACACACCTATTTAGCTAAACCAGTTTCACACCAATTTCAGGTTGAGGCTAGAGTTGGATGGGAAATTGATTTTTGGAACTTTTCAGCAAATTTAAATATTTTTTGGAGGGGGGGTGGAAATGGGTGGGTCCGAGGGGTTGTTCCCCAAAATCTGGCGCTTAGTGAGAGATGTCTCACCAAGAGGGTGAGAAGTGGGAGCAGGGGGCCTTGAAATTGGAGTGGGATGCCTCTGGGGGGCATGACCCCCCCAATTGAGAGTTGTTGCCTTGGCAACATCACACCAGCTGTCTCTCCATTTCCCCAACATGCCCTCCCAACCCTCCTGCTGGGCTGAACTGGGGAATGGAGGCGGTGGGGCCAGCTGGGATGGTGGGGTTTTTTGGAGGGCACTCACCGATGAGGTAGTGGCACTGTCGGCTGTAGACCCGCACCACCCCATACTGCAGCTGGGCAGAGAGATAGAGGGAGAAGCGGGGCCGGGGGGCAGAGGGCGTGGGCGGTGGGGCCTGCACCAGAATGTAGGACAGGATTTCTTCGCTGCGCCGACCCGTGACAATGGGAACGAGAGAGAGAGTCAGTGCTTCTATCCATCCTTCTCTTCATCCCTCCATCATCTTCATCCTTCCTTCCTTTCCTCCACCGTCCTCTTCATCCCTCCATCCATCCACCATCTTCATCCCTCCTTCCATTCCTCCATCCACCCTCCTCTTCATCCCTCCATCCACCATCTTCATCCCTCCTTCCATTCCTCCATTCACCCTCCTCTTCATTCCTTCATCTGTTCCATCCATCCACCATCTTTATCCCTCCTTCCTTTCCTCCACCGTCCTCTTATCCCTCCATCTACCCCATCCATCCACGCTCTTCTTCCCTCTTTCCTTTCCTCTGTCCACCCTCCTCTTCATCTCTCTGTCCGCCCCCACCCATCCATCTCTCCCTCCATTCTCTCCCTCCATCCCTCTTTCTCCCGCCCATCCTCTAGATCCTACCCTCCTCCGGCCCTCCATTCCCGCTCCATCCATTCAATCTCCTCCCTCTGACATCCATTTCTCCTCCCTCCCTCTCACCGCGACACCCACCATGTTTGGGGCACATTCACTTTCAAATATTCCCTCTTCACCAGCTTGGTGCCACCCGTGGCTGCCAGCCTGGGATGAGGGAGAAGGGGGTTAAAACGAAGGTGGTGAGGTCACCTGACCAGATCCCCCCAATCCACCCACCTGGATCCCCAGAATAGATACCCCCCCCCCGTACTCCCCCTTGGCCAGATCATGGCATGATGGGCATTACCAGATGGTGGCAAAGCGGCCTGTATGGCGCTGCAGGACATTGGGGTAGTAGAACATGGTGGTGCTGGGCTGGGGGAGCTAAGCGGACCCCCAAAACAGCCTCCTCAAAGACCCTGCAACCCTGTATGAGGCTCCTCCACTACTGAAATGGGACGTTCACAAATCCTACAGAGTCAATAGGACCCTGAAAAACCCTATAGATTCAGCTGAACCCCCAAATATCCTGGATTCTGCAGCACCCCAGCAATCTTATAGAGTTAGTGGGACCCCAAAATATTGCAAATTGTGTGGTAAATCCTTCATGAATCCTATCAACTGTTGTTGTTTTTTTGGGTGGAAAACAGAGATTTTTTTGTTCCACTGTTGAAACAAGTCAAAATTCAGAGGCAGAGTAATTAAATAAAACCAACTTGTTAGCAGCTAATGAATGGATAGCTAAATATTTCGCCTGAAGCCTCAAGATTTTAAAACCTGCTGGGTGACACAAATGGATGACTTTTTATAGAAAAAATAATTAACACTTGGGGTTAATGAGAGGAAGAAACATGTTAAATATTAACAGAGGGGTTTGGTTATTGAGATGGGTCAATTGGTACTGGAGATAAACCTGCCCAGGGGAAGGGAATTTGGCATTTAACTCGGAAGCAATTAATTAGGATATTAAAAATGAATTATGGGATTTAATTAGAGGGATGAGGATATAGGGTTAAAATGAGGCTGGTGAAGGGAAATCAGATGTGGATTTCCTTGTCTAATAAAGAGCAAACTCTAATTAATCATTATATGCAATAGTAATGCTGTTGCTTAATTAGGTTAATTAAAAAGGAGGAGGAAGTTGTGTTAAAAATCACATGGGCAATTGGAAGCAGATTTGAATCCTGCTCTTAATGAGGAGCCAACTAATTAACTGTGATGTTAAAAAAAAGATTAACGACAGAGAACAAAATTTACCAACGCTATTAATGGGAGTAAAAACACTGGAAAGGGATACTATAATACATTAATTAAGAGATGTGTAATTATTGGTGCTATTAATACATTAGTGATGTACGATTAAGAACAATAGAAAGTAACAGTGATATGAATAAATTAATTGGGAATTTGGACAATTAACAATGCTGCTAATCAGTTAATGATGTAGAGCAACTAACACTTTTTTAATACATTAATTAGGGCAATGAACAATTAGAGTTGCTTTTAATAAAGCTTGGGAACAGGAAAATTAACAGTGATATTAGTAAATTAATGAAAAAGACTCGCTATTAACAGCAATATTATTAGTAATCAGTGAAGATAAGCTAATAGTTATAAAGAACAATTAACAGCAATACTAATTAAGTAGGGAACGAACAATTAGAAGTGGAGAGAGCAGTGAGATACTAGGAAATATTTCTTGAAATTGTACAGCTAGAGGTGCTGTTAATTAGCTAATTAGCAGTGATCAGTTTAAACTATTAACAAATTAGTCCAGTGGACAATTAGAGGTACTATTAATGAATTAATTAGTCAAAAACAATTGGAGGCGATGTCAATCAACTAATTAGTCCAATAGACAAGTAGAGACCCTATTAATGAGCTAATTAGTCCAACGGACAATCAGAAGTGCTGTTAATTAGCTAAATAGTCCAATTGACAATCAGAGGCGCTGCTAATGAATTAATTAATCTAATGGACAAATAGTCGCGTTGTTAATTAGCTAATCAATCCAATGAATAATTAGGTGTGCTATTCATGAGCTAATTAGTCCAAACGAAACTGGAGGCGATGGCAATTAGCTAATTATGATAGATTATTAAGGCTGATGTTAATTAATTAAGACAATTAGAGGTACTATTAACTTGGCGTTGCCACGGGCAGCGGTTGCTAGGCTAAGCCCCTCCCACCCTGGCCCTCCACCCACGCCCTCCAGAGTGAGGCAGGGTCTGGCCGCAGCCCTCTGCCTTTATAACCGCCCTACGGTGCTTCCACCAATGGAAGATGCGCTGCTCTAGTGCTCCAGCCAATCACCGGATCCTGGTGCCACGTGCGGATCTTCCCTCTGGCCCTGGAGACTGCGACGCTCCGGCGGCTCCTTGCGCGCTCAGGGCTCCAGCCAATCAGCGGGATCTTTCCTACCCGGAGACTGACAGGACCAACCCCTCCCTCGCCTCAGCTCCCAACCAATCAGGATCCACCTAATAGGAGACCGAACCACGTGAGATTCTAGCGTCTACCTTCGCAGAAGACCCTCCACAACCTGCCACAGTGACTGATGACCTCACAGCGCTCACAGCCAATGATAACCGTTCCCGCCATCCAGCGCGACCAATCAGAGGGATGGAGTGGTTTTCCCGCTAAATTTTCACTGAGGTAAATTCTCTCGCTCACTAGAGCTGCGTGCCTGGGGAGCTGGTGTTAATGCCCACGCCCCCCGTGTCCATCGACTGTCAATGCCCGGTGCCAACGGCCCCCCAGTACCAACGCCT